ATGAACAAATAAAAAATTATAATGCATATTATATACACAAAAGACATAAAATAAATTATACGGTTTTGTTTGAAACATGAATAATTTGTAAAATATAAACTATAAAAAGAAACATCATTCGAATAGTGATATTATATACGATAATTTTTACAATATTACGACGTTAAAAATCGAAATGCACATTGATTCGTTGTCGTTGTAACTGTACAAATGATGCTTACTTTTAGTGTAAAATATTTGAATAGCAATTAACAATTAGAATATCTTAAGTTGTCATAAAATATTTATATTTCGTGCTTAGATATAAACTATTTTGTGCATACATTTGATTTTAAATGAAATAAAACCATAGATAAATTGTATCATACTTTTAAAATAATATGATAAATAGTAAATCACGACTATTCGGTTAGATTAATTTTATATTTCAATTAAAATATAAAAAAATTTATTACATTCATTGTATTCTATGTAAATTTCTAATTCTTTTAGCATATATTTTTTGACTGACTGACTGTTTTTATTTTATACTTTAAGTTCTTCCATTTAACAAACTTTATGGTATAAAATGTGAAATGTATAACTTTGATTGATTAAGATATATGTTTTCATATTGGTTATTTATGCTTTTTAAAACTTTTGTTCCTATCTGTATTACTGTGTTTTCTACACGTTTTGTTTTTTTTCTTCAAATATTTCATATAAGAGAAAGCATAATCGATATAAATACAAAGTAAAACCGAAATGTAAAACCACATTCATGAGTTATTGTTATTACTTTTGTAAATTTAAATAAATTATTGTTTCTGATTTAGTATAATATATATATATATTTTAATTTGAATATAGGATTTCATCAGTGTACTGTTTTTTTATTAATGATTTTTATTACATTTGGTTATCAAAAATAGTTAGCATATGTAAAACGAAGATTTTTCCCCGAGCTCATTAAATCATATTTATTTATATTCCACAGTCTAAAGTAATTATTAAAAAAAATACGTAATAATATATTTAACAAATTAAATGATATTGAATCTACTTTTAATTTTATCAGAGCTCAATTTTCTAGGAGAATTTATAGCATTAAGATAAAAAAAAAGATAAATACTTATTTAAAAGATTCTATTAATGGATTTGTAAGACATCGATATTACTCAGCAAAAATAAAGCAAAATGAATTTTCAAAGGTTTATTCGAATATTTATACAACTTATTATTTTGAAGTACTGAATTCAGTGAACCAAATAATTGTTAACGATTTAAAACTATTAGGATTCATTTTTTACATGATAGATTCTAAATAAAATATAGGTAAAAGTTTATATTAAGGTATAGGTTTATTTTTTAGAAATTGCTTCCTATTTATTTAATGACTTTGAAAGTTTTATAGCGAATCCACTTTTATAATTTTTTAAATTTAGTACAGTTGAATGTTTGAAATTGTTGATATGATCAGAAAATATTTTCTATTTTTCTATAAAAAAATTGGTAAAAGCTCTTATACAAAATTAACGCTTCTGAAAATTCATATTAATATTTTAAATTAAAAAAAAAAAAAACTTGTTCTAGTATGTTAAATATATTAATAACAATAATATTTTGTATGGTTTGTTTGAAGTTTGAAGTTTTTCAGTTGATTATAATGTAGACTCATATAAGCTAAAAAGTTTTCGCCAATTTGTGTAAAACAAAATCAAATTTAAATTTAAGTCATCATGAGTTCATTATTTGTGTTTGCGTTACAAGTTTAGTTTATAAGTATCCTATTAAGTAACTTATGTAATTATTATGAATGCATATAACTAATTCAACTAAAAATATCGAAAACAACTTTTATAATTCATACTTATTTTAAACGTAGTTGGTTAGTTAAACAAACTAAAAATTATTCATTTGAAAACAAAACCGTAATCGAAACAAATATAAGTAAAAATACGAATATCATTTACTCTATATTCACAACAAAAATTAAATAAAACAAATTGTATAATATGTGTGAACATAATACCTATGTTGAATGTTTTAAAAGCTGACAATAATTGGACAAGTTAAAGGTTTAGTTAATAATATAATTTTAGTAGATACTCATACAACATACTAATTATAATAACTTAACCTATTTTTTTAATTTTTAGTGAACCTTAACAAATTATATTTTTGGAAAACTTCAAGTTAATTTACTCGTCAAAAGTAAATTAGGTTTCTAACGAAAAACACTTGATTTTTTTTTTTTTTATTTACATTTTACTCTGTTTGTATAATTTAACTTTACTGTGAACCAATAATATTAATAAAAGTTTAAAAAAAAATATATATATTTTATTTTATTGACACACATGATGTATATAAATAATGGATAATACGTAACTAAAATAAACAAATACAGATATTATAATCAATTATCATTATGAAATTTTTGTTTAAGTCATGAAAATAATGATTTTAAAATGTGATAGTGATCTCTATATTAATACGTACATATCATTATATAAATATATGATAAATTATAATGCGTATATATTTAGTTTATAAGCTCAATACAATAACATAATAATATTACTCTTTTTTTATTAACTACTCAATGACGAATGACAAATATTATACATATAAAATATAATATACAGTGTACATTATTAAATATAACCAATAAACAATAAACATTATTCTAAAATACTTATAAAAAATTGTTCTATATAAGGTTTATCATATTAAATTTGTTTGGTTACTTCTTTTGTTAAATAAATGTACTTTACTTATAGATATAAAAGTTTAGTGTAGGTAGTACTATAAAGCAAGTAGGTCTTGTACATTTTTTTCTTTGGAAAAATAATTCAAATCACATAGTATATGTAAATTATTTTCAGTTTTCACTTTTGATAATAACCCACTAACACATTCAAAAAACATCAAATGTCACAATCTATATTGCTATATGTTTCTGAGAAGAAAATAATGATACTACATAACGGTGAGCTAGGGGCATTCCAGTAAAGTTAATTACGGAGACGATGAAACTGCGACATTTTTGTCAACTAAAAGGTTTTAACAAATGTTCGAAGCCACAGAGACAATAGGCTTTCAGGAGTACGGCGCAGCTTTTGTTCCCAACGACAAAGCCCATCATGCAACCAAAAAGCTTGTCTCTTTCGCTATCCCCTAATATTTCACTTTTTTATGTTTCATTTTAAAAACTTTAAACTGCTGGATTATTAAAAAAAATAAAAAATACTCTCAACTAATTTTGCCTTGGTTTATAGAGTTTTCTGTTATTCTACGTGTACTTAAATATTATTATGTAGTATCTAAACGTTTTTTTTGTAGATAGTTTACTATAAAAACATAGTACAATATTGTCAATTATTATATATTTAAAATTTTTCTATTTAATGATTTATAAATCAACATGAAAGGATACATTTAAATAACAAATTTAATAGTTCTATGAAATAACTTTAACTTAGTGAATGACACTATTAATATGTAATCAAATAATTACTATTTTTTTTTTTATTATAAAGCTTAAGAAATGTTGTACCTATCAAGTATATAAAAAATTTGAAGTGCATACATTTCTGTATATATGGTCAATTTTTTATAATATATATATTGGTTATATATTATGATGAATGTTATATAATATAATAATTTTAAGTGTTATACTCAAAAATATTCTGATTTAAATTTGATAGTTGAAGTTAGTTTTTCATTAAACTATAGAAATTATTAATAAATCTATAAGTATTATCCACGTAAGATTGCCGTTCATAAATATTATAATATTTATGGATCATTTGGTCTTATCAAGAAAAATCGTTTATACATTAGAAAATATTATAATATCTGATTATTCACTTCTTGTTTATATTCAAAATGATTAAATCTAAAAGTAGCTTTAAGATAAGTAGTTATAATAATTTTATTCAGCGAGATTCTACAGTAACAATCAGTTAATACAATAAATAATTAATGAAATAGTTTTAAATGATCTCTACTTTATCGTAAAGAATGTTTCGTTCTTACTATAACGCCCTGTCAAAATGCCTAACCAATAAATATTTTACTTGGTTAAACTATCATAATTTGAGAATATAATATTTTATTTTGTTGTATTTGTTTTTTCTTTTGTAGTATCAAAATAATTTTTCGTTGTTAACAATTAATTATGAAATCAATACAATTTTTTGTATAAAAGTAAATACTTTTAACTAACTAAAATTTATTTTTATCCGTTAGAAATGAAAGAAAAAATGTATATAGAAACATTTAAAGTTTTTTTTTTTTTTTTACAAAAACTATAAAATTAAAAATATTTATTACACTAATAAATAAAATACCATGCAACGTTATTATGATAAGTACCTACATTGTATTTTTAAAATTATATTGTAATTTTTTGTTACTGAAAATTGTATTACATTGAAACAAAAAACCTGTGTGAGTTTCTATAGATGAACATTTTTTCAACAATAACTATAATTTAATTTGATGTTTGACAATTATTCTTTAAAAATAAATACTTATACGTAAAAATATATAAACAATATGTTCATTATAATAAAAACAACGCAATTTTTTCAATTTAAATTTACAACCAAAGTGTGTGAAATGCATAATTTTTCTATATTTTCCCTGAAATTTCTCAAATAATTGAGTTATAATATTATTTTTTCGATATTCTAACTTTGTCATTTATCTACACAAAATAAATATACATAATTTATGGTGCATAGAATAATTAAACCAGTATCATTTAACACTATATCGGTACTTTGTAAAAATCATTTGGTTTGAAGTTTGTAATTTATATATTACATTTATAAATTATTTGCAAGTTAAAATATATTATTATTCTTTAATACCCAAATTTATTGTTGTTGCATGAGTAATATTGTGCTTAATATGTTTTCATAAGCAAATATCGAAAATATTAGACTGCTTAAATGCTTTCAGTCAGCATAAAACAAATACGTAATTATGTTTTTTTTTTTTTTTTACAGATATGTGGCCGAAATTTGCATTTCTTGGACTTGTGATCATCCGGTTAATGGTATCTGCGAATCCAGATGCAAAGAGATTATATGACGATCTCTTGTCCAGCTACAACAAGCTTGTCAGACCCGTGGTGAATACTAGCGATGTACTTCGGGTATCTATAAAGCTGAAACTGTCGCAGCTTATCGATGTGGTACGTATATCCAAAATAAAGTTAGAATTTAAAATTAATTTTACATATTATAATGAAGTTAGTATGAATATTGATTGACAAAACTCACTATCGTTATTTATTTATTTATTTTTTTTTTAGCAAATTAAGCAACTTTATTAAGGTAATTAATAACTCTGTTATTTTCATTAATTAAAATTTCCCTTTTATTATACTCAAACTTCATAACATCTATTGATATATCTTTCAACTAATAATTCAATTTATTACACATATAAAAAAAAAAAAAGATTAAATAAATAATAGAAAATGATCTATAAAATAAAGTTTTACTTAATCATTATTATTACACAACTTTAATAAATAAACTATGGGGCTCGCATACTATAAAAAATAATCTATTAATAATTTACCCGTGACACTTATATTATATATATATATATATTTTTCCCAAAAAGTGAAGACAAAATAAAAATACAAAATTTGTATTTTTAAATATTTATTTAAAAATTTGTTACTTAAAAACTATTTAATCATTTATGTTTGTAAGAATATACTATTTATACATTTATAATGTTAAAAATAATTTAATATAGCTTTGAAAAACATTGTAAATGTGTTATAATGTATATACATTTTATTTATAATATTACATATTAAAAAATAATATTAGCGATGATTACGTTATGCCTGTACGATTAGTAATGATTTAAGAATACATAACTAAGTGTATTTATTATTTATGTACCCAGTTGGAGGCCATTTTATACATTATCAATATCTAAACTATAGAAATAAATTGAAATAATATAATCATAATTTATACGTAGTGAAAACTTTTAAACATAAAAATAGCGTACAATTGGTAAATTAAATAAGATTTTTTCATATTATATGCAATGAAATATAATATTAGATATGTATTTTGACAGCACAGAAAATCAATATGAATATCTTAAAACAAAAAAAATGAATAATAAAATTCCAGGATACGGAAAACTATTGTATGTTTGTTAAAATTAAAATAACGTATTGTTTTCACTTTCTTGAAAACAAAATAAATATTGATTTAATTTCATAATAATTAAATATTTTTAATAAAATTATTTAACAACAACCTTTAATATAAAATAAATGCAAAACGTGTTAATTGTTAATTTTGTTCACGTTTGATTCAGCAACAACAAACAACTATTTGGAATTGATGTAGTAATGTGCTTAAAAATATATTGGCTCATTTAACTCTGCGCGTTTTATATTGTGCGATACTCTTTTTGAAGAATTCAATAGACATTGTTTACGGTGATAATGGAGATGCAAGCCTATGGAGCATTTTGAACGTTCAATAAATAATGGACCACAACTGTGGTTGATGCTGGACACTAAAGAAATAGACAAATTTGATCAGTATTTGGTGTTAGAGGGAAAGAAATAAAAGAGGATAGTTGCGTATTTTCCAGTGGGTTTTTATCAAACACGAAGTACGTAGAAAAAAAGGGCTGTATAGATTTTTTTTTATTCTGTTTCTTTTTTATGGTAGGTGGTAAATTTTTTTTTCGTAAAAAAAGAGCTCGTAAAACGCACTACCCGACATATTTTATGGTTCAAAGTAATGAAAACCTCTTTTAATATGCGGCAGGAATTATATAGAACATGGAAATTGAAAACTTTAAACATCTTCTATTGTTAGTACCTACTAGAATCATTCATCGGAGCACCAAAAAAATATGAAATATTATATTAGCTATGTATTTGAATCACAATTTAATTAAAAAATACTACTCGATATTAAATCTCTATTCGTGATTTGTGCATTTTGATGTACCTATGTATAAATCATTTAATGCAAAAAGCTAACAGGTGAATATTGAAAATTGTTAAATGCTAGTTTATATTATTCCATATTTTTTGTATTTTATCAAATCTGTAATATAATAAATAATATTATGTAAACAAGGTAAATATTTCGAAGAATAATATTATTAATAAACGTTTAGTATATAATTTTTATATTAGGTCAATCTTATTAATTTAATTGTGCGGGAGTAAGAATAACGTTACTTTAGGAAAAATACATAAGAAGTTAAATTTAATTTGTATTTATTAATATTTATGTATTATGATAAATTTAGTACACATACGATACGCTATCTAAACAAAAGTATAATTTAATTTTTTTTCATAAATTATAAATACGAGTAATTAAAAATTAATGAACTTGCGTTTTCTATAATCAATAGATTACGTTTGAATAACATTGAAAATGATAACATTATTGTAACTTGTATGTTTTTAGTAGTTATTGGATATAATTTATAACCACTATGTTACATAGGTTTTTAACAGTTTTAAAGTATAAAAACTTTTAATCAGTACAATAAATGTTTTTAAAACTTGATTATAAATAGGTATATTTATAAAATAATTATGAACGTAGTACCAACCAGTTGATGCAAAATTCCGTGATTAATATTTTTTGAATTACACGAAATAATTAAACATTTTTATTAATACTACTGAGCATTAAAAAAAAATTAAAAATAAACTAAGTCACAACTGTAATGTTTTTTGTGTCAACACATTAATAGCTCAAAATAGCCTTAATATTTAAATATATATAAACCTAGAATACCTAGAAATTATTAATACCTAGGTATTATTATACCTAGAAAATACAAATCTAAATACTTTGTAAAATGTTGAATTTCCACAGTTATTTTGTTCTAAAAATTAGAAGACTAACACAAACTATGTCCTCTAAAAGAATCATGACATAATATCAATAAAAAAACACATTATTGTTAATCCAATACGTTCTTTGAGTCTAAAATGATCTTAAATACTAATCAATATTTTAAGTAATTAAATACTCTATACAAATAAAACTTAAAAACTTTTTATTGTAGATTTTTAATAACCAAATATTAGAACACATTTACGTGGTTCAAATTATATTGCTATAAACTACATTCTCGAAACCGGTAACAATCATAGTTTAAGCATACTTGATAAATCAGCTATTAGCTTTTAGTGTTTTTACATTGATACTTCATTGGCTATTAACAAGCATATTTAAAAAATAAAAATACTCGATATTTTTATTTCATTTTAACTATCTTAAAAACTGTATAACAATCAGTATTCATTATTATATATATATATATATATATATATATAATATGTATTTATATAACATGTATATTGTATATATAAAGTTATAAAATAGTGTTTATTTTTTTTCTTTAATAATTGAAACTTTTAATTTTAATATTTCAAATTTATATTACAACAAAACTGTTATTTTATTATCATAGGACATAGTTTAATGTTAGTATTAAAATAAAAAGATGATATAAAAATAAATCATAAATTAAGTGCCCCCTAAATATTTTTGTGGTCTGATATTAAAATCAAATAAATAAATTTATTTTAATTTTTGTACTTGTATGTACATAATTTAGGTACTCATTAATATTTAATTAGTAATGTTAACACTTTGGGTGAGTAAATATAATGTATTTTTAGTAAAATAAGAGTATTAAATTTATTGAATTTTTAATTAAATTTCTATAAGCTTAAGTACTATAAAATATATTATTGATCATAAACTGTTATTAACTAAAACTTATATAATTACATTTTTGTAAATAAATTAATAATACTGTTTAAATATACATGAGTTGATTCTTCTCGTAGTTATTTTATGGAAAATTAAGGACACGCGCATTTTAAGATTTTGTTTATTTTATTTATTGGTGAAACTGATATTAACTGTAATCTATGGTTTGATGAAACGATATACATTATATAACATTATTTGACTTTTTATTAATATTGATGCAAATCATCAAATAGTAAATGTATATTTTTTCATACGAATATTAGTATTTTATGTTAAGAATAATTTCAAGTGCCACTAATTGCTAAAAATCTAGTTAAGTATACATTTTTAAGAGGTTCAAATGTTAATATATTGATTCTGAATATTATAAAAGCATAATAATGATAAATTTCAATAAAATAATTACATTATAATATATTTTGATATAAATAAAAATTACTTTTTAAAAATTATAAAAAAAAAATTGAAATGTTAAATAATGATAAAATATGTTTATTAGTACCAATGTTGTATTAATTTAAAAAAAAGTTAATAAAAAGTTTTTTAAAAATGTAACTTTTTTAGTAATTTACATAATCTAAATTACCTCAAAATTCGCAATAAAAGTAAATCTTAAGAAATGAAAATGCTTATTACCATGCAAATATTCATATCGATTCGTGTGAAACAATATAAGTTTTAATTTTTTCCAACTAAATAGTATTTTTTAGTAAATAATGATTTAAAATGTTATAATAAATTAGATACAAAGTCTTGTTTATAGCTGTTTGTACATAATAATATATTAATATTGTAACTATACTATGGTTATATATTATATTTCATTATTTTTTAAAATCGTTTTTCAGAATATTTAGCTTTAATTAATACAACGATTATACATTTGAATCACATTTCAAATTAAATTTGAATATAAAATTATAATAATATTTGTCATTTCACAGAGCTAATTTTTTAAACATTCATTTTTATTATTTAAATTATTAAATTTAAACAAATTCGAAATTGAATATTTTAGTTATTTACTACAACAAAGTGGATGGCAAATACAATAATGCATTATTTAATTTTACAAACACCATTCAAAATATAAATCTTAATTAACTTATTAAGTTAAAATTAATAAAAAATATGTGTGACTTACTAAACATTTGATATTAATACATACTATTAATATTAATATTAATAATATTAATATCATTGTCCATGTTTGAAAATCATTTAAACAAAACGAACGCGAGTGCGTTGATAATCAACTACGCGAGTAATAAATCAATGAGTAATCCAACAACTTAAAACTGTAAGATACAATGCAAAAATTAGAATTCTATCCCTAAATTATTCCTGAACTTTGGTGATTAAAAATGGGAGAGGTGACATTTTGGAAAATATTTTTGTA